TTCCAGCAAAGGAACAAAAACGGGTGACTGCCTCAAGTAAACTTTGTAGGGAAGACCATCTAGTCCCGGAGACTTATCCAGACTAACCTGCTTCAGCGCTTCCCAGATTTCCGACTGTGATGGGACCCTCTCACCTAGCTGTTTCAGCTGCCTTGAGGCAGGGAAAGTCGACTAAATAGGCATCGACCTGAGCACAACTCAGACTGGGCTCACTGGTGAAAAGATCCTGAAAGTAATCCCGAAAGGCCTCACATATGCCCTCGTTTGTAGTCACAGTCCGCTTATCCGGCAATATGTCACCTAGACTCGTTCCAATTTTCCTCTGCATGCAATTCAGCGGCCATATTCATCGCCTCAGAAGATATTCTTTTTAACCTAGCTCTAACTACCAGAGCTTGATCCTTCTTGATAAGCAAGGAGGACAACTCTGCCTTAGCTAAGGCTATTTCCCCACTAACACGGGATTTCACTGCCCGATCAACTTTTTCTTTGCTAATCTATCTCGATTGAGTCGACGACTAAATTCGGCAGCAAACGTTCTAATTTGGGATTTTAATCTATCCCACCAGGCGTTCCCCACAACCACCCCCATCAATTCCCTTTGTATCATTAGTAGCAGCTGGTCCCGGAAATCCTGCTCACCAAACAATGAACAGTTTAATTTCCAGTAACCAGCCAATCTAACCTTAGGCTTATCTAAGTTTATGCGGACCTGGACAAACCTATGATCCGAATAAACTATGTAATGGAAGCTTTGACACCCTAAGAGCCCTACATCGACTCTCCTAACTAAGACTCGGTCGAGGTAGCTAGCAAGCTTCCCAGGAGCCAAGTTGCCACTATTTGTCCAAGTCCATGCTACCTCCCGAGGGTGTTCATTCCGGTACTTATCGACAAGATCAAACTCATCGATAAAGTCCCGAAATGGTTTCACGTCCCGGTTGTTAGTATCCTGTTTTTGCCCTATACGATCTATATCAGGGTCAAGGACAGCATTCTAATCCCCCGCTAAAACTACCCGATGAGATGTCAAGTACGACCCGATCTGCCGAAACAAAGCAGGCCACTCAGCATGGATATTGGGCACATAAACCCCAATGAGACACAGAACCTTATCCTTTATGGTAACATCCAGCACGCAAAGTCTGCCCGCCGGATCCGCGAAGACAAGGGTACATGCTGCCTGCTCACTAGCTAAGAGACACCCCTCGAACGACCATCAAAAAATGCTGAATAAAGGGCGAAACCCCTAGACAGTATATCCTCATGGTCATGAGAAGAAAACCGGGTCTCTTGCACACAACAAACATTCACCCCGAGGCACTGAAGATCCCGAGAGAGCCTTGCCCCGCGAGAATCGGACCTCAGGCCCCGGCCATTTATACTTGCTAACCAGAGTGCCATAATGAAAACAGATTAGGGTTGTAGTACTGGCGAGATTCCGCCGATATCCCAGGGGAAAGTCAGTTTTAGAGCTCTATACAGGGAGGGGTGAACTAAAACTGGGTCCCACCCTGCACAAAATTGCCTTAGGTCTTTTAGCTGCTTGTTCCGTACAATTGCAATGGGCAAGGCCATCTTGTAAGACATGATAGCTTCATCCAGCAAGTTTCCTTCGCTCCAGGGCTGGTTCTGATAAGAGTCAAAACCCTTTGAGCAAGCGGGAAATTTTGAGGGACTTCAATGTCCATGTCTTCAAACTGTCTTATCAAGAGTAAATACGGGCTCTCTTGGCCTGCGCCAGGGAAATTCTGCAAACATTCTCTCCTGTATTATAAATCAACTTCTGCGCCTTTTTCTTCTTATCTTTTAGCTCCTGCATGGGGCTTCTTTGGCGCTTAGAAGAGGGAGGTGGCATTTCTGCATTTTTAACCGGGGAAGGACTGGGAGTATGCAGAGGGGTGTGGGAGGATCTTTGTTTAACAGGCTGTGTGGAGAGGGGTGTAAAAAAATGTTTATAAGGGCTGGGACCTCTTTCTACGACGTTGCCAGCAAGGAAGGTCGTTTCTTAGGTGAAGGGGAGGATCGGGTAGAGGACATTGAAGGAATAGGGTTTTGGGATTGAGTCTTTTTTTGCTTGTCCAGTTTCTTTTTAAGGTCTTTAATTTTTTCCGATTTCTCAAATCCGGGGTCGAATCTTTTTTGTTTTTCTTGGAAAGACAGTTCAGAGGCCGAGGCATCGCCCTTAACGTTGCCAGAGGGAGTGATGCTGTAAGTGTCTTTCATCCTTGGGGCTTCCCTCTGGCCTTACCAGCAACTAACCATTCCCCCACCCCCTTCTCCGCAACTCCACTAGCAGTGAGTAAAGGCTCTTTGGGGAATGTGGCCTTTTGACCAACTGGGGGGATTTTCCCTACCGGTCCTAGAAGCTGGTATGCCCATTACAGGCGAGGTGGTAGGTAAAGACTCGGTCAGAGGGGGATTTTGGTCAACTGAAGCCTGACTTCCAGAGGCCTTTTTCTCTGGACAGGAAGAGGAGAGTTGACCAATCACTCCGCACTTCCAACGGACTGATTTGCGGGTGGTCACAATGACCGGCAGATTCAGGCCACCAACGTCAAGACAGTTGAGAATAGAGCCGAAGGCTTTTTGATCGAGCATGATATCGAAGCTCCATCCCCCAGTCAGGCTATCACAAGAAGCACCCAGTATCTCGCTGTATTGGGCGAAGAAAGCCGCCAGGGGCTCACCGATAACCTGAGGAGGGACCTCATATACTAGGGACTTCATATACTAGTAGGGCCCTTCGCCGGCAAGTCTTTAGTTACTAGATCCCTGTTTGTGGCTCTTATGCGGTCTTCGGCGGTGGGTAGCAGCACGGCCCACATGAAAAAGCCCTTGCCCTTAACAATATGGAGTGGCTTAAACCCCATGGACTCCAGTGATTTTAACACTGTGTCTTTTGTTGAACAACAAATTTTGCGCAAATGCTTGAAGACTGACACTATTCTTTTCTCGATCTTCTTAAGTTCAATTGGATCCTCCAAGAGCCCACCTTTCACCACAAGGTGTGCGTAACTCTTGGCACACTCCAAGAACTCCGCAATATCGATAATGCATTTAGGAGGGGACTTCCAACAAGAGGGTGATTCCCCGGCCTCTTGAGTTGTTTTTAGTTTCATCTATAATTTTGTTCTCGGTAGAATTGGAAGCTTTTTTAAGCACTTCTACAATTTCTTCATTTGTAGTAGTTGTTGGTAAGGCTGGATATTCGTCTGTATTATTCTTTTCAGGCGGGTCTTTTTTAGGGTTAAATAAATGCTTCTTCATAGATCTCTTGAAAGAAGCCATTTTGGGTTTTTTTTTTAAGATTAAAAAGGAAGGAACTTTTTTTCTTTCTTATCCATTTTTTTAGAGGGAAGGGGAGGGGGAAAAGGGGGTGGGAAATAATAAATTCCGCCTTATAGGCGAAAACTTAAAAAAAAGAGAAAAGAAAAAATTAACAGAGAAAAAATAACACAGCAGGTGACAGACAAATATTAAAATTAAAAAAAACACAAAGCTTGCCCGAAAGCAAGACAAAAAAGCAAATAAAAGACACGCGACAAAATAAAACAAGGTTCACCTAATGGCAAGAAAAAAGAATAACACGTACAATAAATAATAGACAAAAAGAACAAAGATCGCCTAACAGCAAAACAATAAATTTAAAAGGAAAAACACGAAAAGAAAAAACAAAAAACGAAAATTCAAACAAAATAAATAATACACAAAAGAAAATACAGAACTAAATACGCAACTAACAAATGACAAAAACAAAGACGGCTGCTAAGAATACCTAATCTGGCTGTTTAACAAAGGAAAACGCAAACGGAAAATACGAACAGAAAAAGAATTACAAATTTAAAACAAATATGTACAGAAAATATTTCACAAATACAAACACAGAAAATTTAACAGATATTTAAAAGGGAAAACAAGGAACGAAACACAAACAATAACAAAGAACGATATAACACGTAAACAATGAAAAATTAAAGTCTGACGTAAAATAAAAACAATAAACTTTAGCAGGGGAATAAAAAAGGAAAATTAAAAAGGAAATGGAAACTATAAAATATTAATTTAAAAAATAAAAGAAAATCAAAAAGTTAATAATAAAAGAATGAGAGGAGAAAAGAAAAAAAGAAAATGGGGAGGGTAAGAAATTGAAAAAGAAAAGAAAAATCAAAAACTTTTCAAAAATCAGTCAATTCAAAATTAAAAACGTAAGAAAAAAATAAAAACAGACTTAACAACAAAAAGTAAATCAGTAAATAATCCAGGTAATAATCGCAAATACGATGTGGAAAAAAAAAATTAATCGGTCAGAAAGAGGTCTATATGGACAAAAAAGCTGGGGGTATGAACACTCCACCTTGAAAAAGAGAGCTATTTATGGTGCCATGGAGCATCTCATTGTGCTCAAGTGGGATAGTCCATTGCTTGAGCTGTGATTGGCTGCTCGTACATGAGTGGAGGTATTTCTGTATAAATACCAGCTTGATTCCAGTCAGTTTGCAGGGTTTGTATTGAGTTACAACCTGCTTTATTTTTGTCTGCCAGCTTGACACTAACTGGGACCCTTATGCTGGTAAGTGCTGTTTATTCTATTGTGATTCTACAGTTTGGTTTCATAAAAAAATTTTGACAGTGTGAAGATGAAAAATGTTGTTTTTTTGATTAAACTGCACATCTCTACCATAGATACATTTCCTTAATTTCCAAATCTTCAATGCTCTGCTACCATTGATAAGAGTACAGGTCTTCTTTAAAATGTCAGTAGTTCCTCCAGGCAAGTCAAAGTCAAGAGAGAAATCACAGCAGTTTAAATAGTATCTAATGACCCAATCCATCCTGGCAGGAGGGGACAAATTCTATGCCCCTACTCCTGCCACTGCTGATAGGAACAGTCCATTAAGTTAAGAAATCAGGAATAACTGTTTATACCAGTTACAATAAACAATAGTTAACAGTAATGATGCATTTTTAAGCATGCTAATAGTTATGACAAAAGATACCTTGATAATTCTTTCGATGCAGATTTTGTAAGTCCTATAACACCAGCTTTGGAAGCTGCATAATTACACTGGCCAATATTACCACCCTAGAGAGAAGGAAATACATGATTATCATTATTAAAAAACAACAAAAACAGGCAATGAAAATATCTTCAGGAAGTCTGTTCAATACTCTTAATGTCTTCTTTCTGTAATTATCAGTATGATTTTCTGTTATATCAACAACAATATTGATCATGCAGCAACAATTTTTTTTCATTGACAAAATGTTATATTGACAAAACCAATCATAGCCAATAAATAATATATTTTTATCTTCAGTAAAAGGAATCATATTAAATTGTAAAGTACTTTTAAATGCTTTCAGAGAAAGAGCAGTTTGTGCTTATTCATTAATCCCTTCATAAAAATAATAAAAATTTAAAAGTAAAAAAATACAAATGAGTTATAATTAACAAACAAGTAGAAAAATCAATTGGATACCCTTTTTGATAGTCAGTCTCATTTGAATTGTTAATGTTCAAATGATAGTGATAATAATGTGTGTGGCACCCTCCAGTCTCAAGAAACCTTGGGTCTGCACCCAAAGAGTTATATCTCCAATGTGAATGATCATTGGCAACTTCTTCCTACCTCTCAAAGTCCATGTCCATCATCCTCATGTCTCTTCTGAAAACATCCTTGAAGCAAAGAACTATAGCAGGCTTTTGAAAAATTGTCCATGAGTCACTGCAGCATGTCTCTAATAAGCACCTCACAGATTTTGGATTTTGCTCTCAGCCGAGACAAACTTAATAGGCTTTCATCTATGCTTGTGTGCAATGGTTTCAGTTGAAGACCCAAGTGCATGACTACAAAGAAGATCTGAAATAAGGTAGGTGCAAGCACACAACCCTGCTTCACACCACTGCATATATTGAAAGCCTCTGTATAAGAATCACCAAATTTTACAACACCGTTCATATCCATATGAAATGACTGCACAATCCTGACGAGTCTTGGAGGACAACCGATTCTATCAAGTATCTTGAACAAGCCATCCCTGCTCACAAGATCAAATGCTTTTGTGAGGTCAATGTGGTCAATTTACAGTGGTCTTGTTGAAGAGAGAAGATCATGTCAATTGTGGAAACCACACCAAGATTTGGGATATACCCTTTCATTGAGCTTCTGTAGTCTACCAAAGACCACATGGGCAAAGACATTCCTGAATATGTTCAACAGGGAGATTCCTCTGTAACTGTTGCAAACATTTGGTCCCTCTTATTCTTATACAGGGTGACTATGTTCCAGTCTCTCTGCAGCACTGTGCCTTCCTCCCAGCACTGACAGAGTAGACTCACCATGTGGTCAACTAGAACACCTTCTGCACACTTGATGGCCTCTAGTGGAATGCCATCCAATCCTGGTGCCTTTCCCATGGATAACTTGTCAATAGCTCTGCTCAGCTCTCCAGCAGTCAGCAAAGTATGCAGTCCCCCATGACAGATGAGCTACCGTGTCTAACGCATCACCTGAAATACTTCTTTCACTAGAGTACAGTTCCAAGTAGTGCTCTACTCACCTCTCCATCTCTTTGTATCCTTGATAATCTCACCAGCCGGGGATTTCAGTGGTGCTGTTTTGCATTTGATTTTTGATTCCTTAATACAGCCCACAAATGCCACTAGAGTCGAATGTTAACTTGCACAGCTTGAGCCAGTAATCATTTGCACAGTGTCTGGCAATCCTTAAAGCTTGCAACATTGCCTGAGTAGGTTAGTATTAGTGCTTCAATAGTGCAATGCACTTCTTCTCGATGGTCACATTGAGGTCATTTGCACTTGCTTCGAACAAATTCTCTCTATTCCTCCCAAAAGTGTCCAGTGCAGTGCTGTGAAGACTGTCCCTCAGAGTATCCAATCTCTGTTGTACAGTTCCTCTAGGTGGGTTCGTGAGGAGAGCATTATTCAGAGACTTGATGAATATCACAGATTTGATTGAGTTCTGGATTGTGGTAACATTGATGCGCTGTTTGCCTGGAGGCTTGGCCTAATGTGTTCTCTTTGGTTGGAGTCTGAGTTTGCAGCAAATCCCATTATACAGTTGGTGCTCTGAAAGGACAGCATCACATGCAAGTTTCTCAGGTATCTGTGTCTCATGAGGATAAAAATCTAGCTGATGCCAGATTTACAGTGGGTGGGGGGACAAGAGACATTGATCTGGGCTTTGGCCTGGAAGTATGTGTTGGTGATGTATAGCTCATTAAGTACACGGAGCTTGAGCAGTTGTTGGCCAATGTCATTCAATTTATCAGTTTCATGCCATTTCAGACAGCGAGATCATGAGTCATGATCAGCACACATCTGTTCTTCTTTCAGAACAATCTTTCATCTTTGATATCTAGTGAGGAGTATAAGGTTGGGGTGTAAGCGCTGACAAGGTTGACAGTTCCATCAGAGGTATGCAGTTGAAGTAAGTAGATTCCACTATTTTCAACAACAAGATTTTCACAGTAAAGCCAACACCATGCTCTCTGATCTCATCCTTACCTTTTTCCTGCCAGAAGAAAATGTACTCTCTCTCATGAAGGGTTACAGACTCTGGAAGCCATGTCTCTTGAAGTGCTGCAATGTCCACTTGAAGTAATTCATTGTTAATCACTGCTGTTTTGCAGTAGATTTCACAAAGGTCATCAGATATCATAGTCCATACATTCCAACATCCAATTCTGAATACTGTTTTTTTTCTTTGATTCAGTATTTATTTGGTGCAGTATTTACAGATTGATTGTGATTCAGGATACTTGTATCTCTAAGCCCTATGCACCCAGTGGAGCAGGCAGACTGTGGTAGGAGCTTGTTGGCTAGAGCTGCCCAGCTTGAGGTGGGCAGTAGCTGTCCAGTAAGGTGCTATGACCTCTCCCTCTGCCAAAAGCAACTGAGAGTGTCCTCACAAGGGTGCAGGCTGAAGAGATATCTATTCATGTGAATGCTGAACTCATCAATGACCGTTAGAATTTACTGGTTTTTCTTTGCAGACATCAGGAGTGTGCCATTGAAATCCATATTTAGTCTTTCAAAAGGTTGGGTTGCTTTGATCAGTTTCCTGAACCTTGGTTTTTCCTAAGTACATGTTCTGCATTGAATGGTAATTTTATGAATGTCATCCACAGCATAGGGAAGGTTTTTGGTGCACACAAAATGAGTCATATGTGTGACTTCCAGATAACAAAAGGACTCATAAATATCCTATAAAACATCTGTAGTGATAGCTGAACAGTTTGCTTTTGTAAGTGTATGTGAAGCTGCATTCTGTGCCAGGGTTCTGTGATGCATTTCATAATCAGCTTATCATTGTTCACGTCAAGCTTAATATTTCCAACTCAGCTGCATTTGAGGGTTTTAACGTTTATGGTGGGTACATCCATCTCCATCTCCCATTGGATTGACAGGCTGACTTACTTACAAGAATCTGTGAGCAGCCCTTGTCCACCAATTTCACTCTCTTGAATACATTTATGTGAACATCTAAAACAGGTAGCACCTCATTTACAACTCACTTGGAGAAAAGACTGGTGCTGACATCTTGTCACCTTCTTCTTTTCCCTGAACACACTGAAGCAATGTGGCCTAATCCATTGTTGTGCATGTCCTGCATGGCTGACAGGCATCTTCTCATCAAACCAGGCAGTCCTTGGAAATGTGATTCCACCTAGAACATTGATAGCATTGCATACCAACCCAACATTTAACATTTGGAAGTTTTTCAGTTGCTACTCCAACTGGTGAAATACTAGCTGCAGTCATTTCATGCTAGCTTCTTTAAATCGGCTAGAAACATGACAGACTCGACAAACTTGTCCAAGCACAGTTGGCACTCCATGAACTGCTTGTAGGCTAAGAAACAATCTAGCAAAAAGGCAACCCATAAGGCTTGTTTTATCTGTTCAGCATCTACGTTTTGCTCCATACTTAGCTGCTGATAGACAGCAAATGCCAGCCAGTCAATTTCAATGGAATAACACATTAAGCCTTCTTGATTCCACACAGTTCATAAACAAGTTCTGGTTTTTCAATCCATTCAGTAACTGCTTGTCCAGTCACTGACCTATCAAATTCAGGTATGAACTTGACAACAAATGTCCTATCCCTCATGGTGCTGAAATAGCTTGTAGTCAGTTTCATCAAGCTTGGAACAAAATTCCTGTTCAGAAATTGATTACAATGAAGTAAACAAATTGCAAGTGCAAACTCAAATATCCAGGGGCAGAAAGAAATGTTGAAATCTTGATTCGCAGGTCCTATATCACAAATCCCAATACATGTAAAACAGTCAGAAATTCAACACACCAGCTGACAGATGAGGTAGAAAATAAATAAATTTGTCTTCCCCTCAATTTGAGAAAACCAACTGCTTTTATCAACAGAACAATTTTTTCATTGGTTAACAAATAGGAGAGGACACACAATATTAGCATATCCAAAATACATTTATGGTGACACATGCGACCGACTTGTTTCTATTTTAGATATTCCATCTTCACCATATCATGCAGAATACGGGCCCTTTTTCTCAGTAAGTAACTTCCATTTTTGCTACATTTTCTGAAGCAGAATACACGTGACATGTTGTCACATGGTTTGATGAGGTAATTTGCCATTTTCTTCAGTACAGGTTCATAGTTTGTGAATAATCAAAGACTAATTGCCTCATGTGGTTTTTGTCATTCATAACTAGTGGTTGAGCCCTTCATGCTGACCGGTTCAGATAATAATACTGTTCTTCAGCAAAGTAGCAACTTCTTACTCGATGAATTTTGTGTCTTCCTTTGAGTTGCACCTAGATTTTACTGCTGTTGGCTTCCAGCCTGGTGTCAAGTTGTCAAACAGTGGAGGAGGTGTTACTTTTAGGACTGTTAATCCGCATAGTTTCAAAGGTGGTCATTTCCCTCCATAGTCAAATTCTACCCTGGAATGCAGCCTCTGTAAATCCAATATAATGTTGGCATATAAGTTTCTCAAAATTGAGACTTCGAATCATGAGTACCTCTGCCTCAGCAACAACAAGGCTACAATGCAATTTCTGGTGATGGCTGAGTGAAACA